AATAAAGAATAAACAAGAAGAGCAGAAACTAAAATTGCTCTGGTGCTATGTTTGCATTTATGACATGCTAGCTGTTAAATGTTTTGAATATAGCCCAATAATCCAGTGCATAATTCAAGATTTAATCTTAGATAGGAGAAGTAGACAGGTGGGTTGATAGATTTGGAAAAGGTGAGATGTAGAACTCTTCTCTTTGATTCTTTTATTTTCTCAGTAACCTAAGACGCAAAGAATAACAAGAAGCAAAGGTCTTTGTGGGTATAAGAAAAGGTTTGCAATGATTGTTTCTTGGAATAGGAAATTAATAATATTAATTATTAATAACTAATTGGGGTAATCTGTAGAATTTAAAGTAGATTAACTATGGTTAGTATACTGCCATGGAAGTAGATAAGAAGTCAGAGACAAGGGAATTGAGGGTAACAAGTAGGGAGTGGTTATCAAGATGAATCCTAGAATTTAAGCAAGTTAAAAAGAAAATGGAAAGCTGGCCTCATACCTAGTGGTTAAAAGAGCTGAATCCCACATGGTCACACACAATTTGAAACCTGACTTTCACAGGTTGAAAAATACACCAGGCATGGATATGTGCATGGTCAAATCTCAACAGGATAGCAAAATTAAGGAGAAGGGATGATAGCGTGAACTTGACTTATTAAGAGTGCTTTCTCCCTCACTCTCTCTGTCAGGCTCACATGCCCTCTAGCAAAGAAAGCTTGAGTAGAAAATAGGGTGTAGGGACAGGTGAGAGCTAGTGCCACAGTGGCAGAGAAAATAGATCACAGGTTCTCGTGTGGTTGAAAAAGTATTGGAGTTAGGTAACACAGAACTGCAAGGTAGAGAATGAGGTGATTGAGAATGATGGAGGACACTTTTTTCTGACAGTTTAATGACAAATTATAGTGACTGCTCCTGAGAATGTTTTGCTGAGATAGGTGGGGTATAAGACATTGGAAATAAGGGAAAAGAGATCAGGTTACCAGGAAGAATGTCTACGTAGACACCCAAATCACTAAACGTTCTGTGATAATGGTCACTATGGTAAAGACGCTATCATTTTCAAGGAATGAGGAAAAGTTCCCCAAAAGTATACAGATAATTGCCATAAGGAGATGTACTAGGAGATAGAATCTGAGGGTATGAGTTTCAAGAAAGCAGGAAATATCGAAGAATAGGAAAGAAACATATTGTAAAAGAAATAAGATTTAAAAGAAGACAATCACGTACCTCCAGGTCCAGTTGGGTATAATGTGTGCGAGAATAAATACTCAGAGTGCTACTGGAAAAGCAGTGTCCTCAGATGATGACTGGATTTCAGTAGAGAAAGGTAAAAAGAATATTCACAGAAGAGAGAGAAGATTTTGTGTTAACTGACCACGAATTCCATAGGACAGAGAGAACAGGCCTAGGCAACTGGGGAAAGCTGGGAGTCTGCATAAAGTTAGGGAATTCACATATGGTATAAGGTCCAGACAAAAATGCTCTGAGGCCTGGGACCAGCAGTTAGCGTAATGGCTATGTCGCTGGACTCCCACGTAGTCGACCACGGTTCGCATCCCGGATCCAGTGACTTAAAACTCATGCCAGGTGTGTGTGTGTGTGTGTGTGCCCCAGATCCCGAGAGGAGAATGGAGGAGAAGGGATTGTGGCGTGGCCATCCCCCTGGGAGGTGATTTCACGTTTTCTGTCTGTCTGTCTGGTGAGCGCACGCACCCTATAGCAAAAAATAAATAAATAAATAAAATAAAAATGCTCTGAGGCCTGAAAGACAGATAAACAGCATGATGGGGTTGTTGTCCTGATAGTCTCTGTTATGGGGTTGGAGCGTGTTGCCTCAAATTCATGTTGAAACCCTGATCTCCAGCATCTCAGGGCATGTGACTACATTTGGTAGGGCATGTGACTACATTTGGTAATAGGGCTTTAAAAATGTTCTTAAGTGGGACCAGGAGTTAGCGTAATGGCTGTGTCGTTGGACTCTCATGTAGTTGACTGTGGTCCGAGTCCCAGACTGGTGGCTTAAACTCATGCCAGTCGTGTGTGCGTGCGTGCCCAAGATCCCGAGAGGAGAATGGAGGAGAAGGGAATGTGACGTGGCCATCCCACCTGGGGGGTGATTTCTCGCTTTCTGTCTCTCTGTCTTTCTGGCGAATGCATGTGCCCTATAGCAAAAAACCTCTCCAAAAACAAAGAAACAAAAAAGATGTGATTAAGTTAAAATTATGGCATTCAATTGGGTCTTAATCCAGTATGATTGGTGTCCTTACATGAAGAGTAAATTTGGACACAGGTAGACTCCATGGGTGCATGTGCACAGAGAGAAGACTGTGTGAGGACTCAGGGAGGAAAATAATATCTACAAGCCTAGGATAGTGGCTTCAGAAGAAACCAAACACATTGACCCCTCAATCTTGAACTTCCAGCTTCCAGAACTGTGAAAAGTGAATTCGTATTGTTCAAGCCACCCAGTCCATGGTATTTTGTTTCGGCAGCCCTAGAAAACTAATTCAGTCTCTTCGGTGAAGGTGAACAAGTTATAATTACAACCTCCTTTTTGGAATGCCTGTCTTAGGTAGATTGTGTTGATGAGGTAGGAAGCATTTGGGTTGCCAAGGGGACAAAGGGTTCTTTCCAAAGGTGTGTGCAACTCTGTGGATCTCCTTTCTCATCTTGTGAAGATCCAGTGTCATTTATTCATTTGTCCATACTGCTTTTCATAGCCTTCCTTTAATTTGTGATTCTTATTGATAATACAATTCTATAAGTAAATTTATTATTTATTCAACAAATATTTATTGAGTGCCTATTATAGGCCAAGCACTATTCTATTTACTAGATATGGCAGTGAATGAAACAGATAAAATCCTCTAAGCTTATGGAGCTTACCTTCTAGTAGCTCCAACTTAGGGTTGTCTCTGGAATTTTATGGTTTTGTAACTGAAGTTCCTTGGATCAAACTCTCTTGACTCCAGTTCACATGTTTATTATTCCTAAATTAGTCTTCTTAAAAACAGAACACATCACTTAGCTCTCCATCAAAAAAATCAATTCTATCTTGCCTTATAAATAAAATGCTTTCTCACTGTGGCATTCAAATTGTGATCTGGCCCTAAATTACTTGTTTGGAATCTACCTAAAATTAAGGATTTCTACTCCCTCCCACTCCTATCTTTTAATTCTTTTTATTGTAAAATTAACATTTCAGTACACTAAAAGACATAAACTAGTTTCAAAAATTCACCATGTATTTATTTACAAGGGAACTCTAAAAAGTCTATGGAAAAAAGAAATTCAAATAGTTTATCTTGACGCAAAACAAGTATTTGAAATCCATGTATATTTTTGTCAGAAAATGGCTTTTCCACGAACTTCTTGAATACCCTTTGCATTCCTTATTAAATAAACACAACATATCTATTAATTATTCACTTTGCTTTCATTCTTCTGCTAGAAGGTGTCTGCTCCTGTAACCCTGAACTCTGTTTGCTTAGACTGGAGACACAGAATGTGGAGTTGAAGAAGGAAAGCCTGACTGTGCAGGGGATTTCCAGGTTGTCTGTTCTAGAAACGGGGAGGGGCTCCCATTCTTTCTCAGTACTTTTTCTATTGAAGGCAGCTGATTACCTAAGCATTTAAATCAGAGGGCCGGATTTGCCTTGTGAGCCACAGTTACTCTCTGGCCTACAAAGTCTCCTAAATTTTTGCTAACCTCAGGTCTGTCTATTTTTTAAGGTCAAGTTCAAATAAAACCCCTCCCATGTGGTCCTCATACTGGGACTCTGAGCTGTGAGTGACAGAAAATTCACTTTACTAGCTTACCTAAAACAGGGTAAATTGAGAGGATGCTGGGGGGTCCAGGATCCAGGAACTGCATAAATCCTACCTGCTCTAGGGATATCCTGTTTCACTGCTGTGGTAACACCAGAACATGTCCTTTTCCTCTCTCATCTTTATTTCTGTCTTCATTTTGGTTTTATTTTCTACTAGGGAGGGCAGACCTGCCCCACAGGAAATGGCCTATTCTCTTCCTCTTTATGTAACAGGCCCAGGTCTGCTTGACCCCGTCCCTTTTATGCACGCTGTTGAAGACAGAAGGGGGAGTAGTGGTGGCAGTGAGGGTCTACCACTGCCCCAGATTAGGAGAGGAGCCCAGCTCTGAGGAAGGGGGCCAGGACAGTTTCCCAAAGGGAGAGAGAATTCTGTTGCCAGGAGATGAAACAGGAGAGCTTATCTATTTCAGGGAGAGGGAACTGTCACAAATCTAGTCCAATGTGTGACACACTATAACAGAAATAAATCTGTCACATCGCTGTCAACCCCCCACTACCTAACTTGGTAGACATTCATGAGTTTTTGATGAATGAATGACTCAGTTCCCCTGGCTGGCTGTGAACATTCTCTGCTCTACACGGGCCCAGGATATTATCAGCTGTTCATTCTGTGCCTTGTACTAGAGGGTTTTTTATGCCCGTATATTAGCTCCCCTCTAATCCCGGGTTTGCACACAGTAAGCAGCCTGTGACAATCTAGATCCCAGAATTTACTGGCTCCACCACTGGCAGGACCGATCACGTGCCGGTGACCCCTCTGGCCTCTTTGTTGAGGCCTTCAGGACACAAAGTCCCCTCGTAAAGGCGCGACCCTCCCGCGGGAGGGAGGCAGGGCCGGGGGCGGGGGCACCGCGTCGCCCCAGCCCCAGGCGCGTCGCTGAGCACAAAGGAGACCGCAGGGAGGAGGC